GTCGACGTCCAAGGTCGCGGTGAAATGAATTCCAACGAATCCACAAACACAATGATCGACGTCCCTTCGACCAGCGCCGCCTTTTCGCATACGTGTGTACGTGTTCACTCATTTAACACCCCCTCCTACAACCACGTTAACCAATTTAGCCATCGACCCAAGTAAGTCGCAACTTAACACCCCATTTCACAACCACGTTAACCAATTTAGCCATCGACCCAAGTAAGTCGCACTTTAACACCCCGTTAACCAATTATATGGTCCGCATCCTCCTCAGTGTTCCCCCGAGGGAAGCTGCGGGCAATTTTTTTCAACCGTTATTTCAATATACCCAGCTCTAAATATTCAGTTGTGTGCGCTGCGTCGCAAGTGGAAGTTCAACAGCGCGAGCACAATCTTTTTTGTGATTCTTTTTTTTGTGTTACTTTTGATTTCCATTATGTTATTTTCTTTACAAACCACGTTGTGTATATTTGTACTCGTAATGTTCTCTTGGAACATAGTTTGTTTCGTAGGTGTTCTTTTTATCGCGTGTTTTTTTTTGTCTCCTCTTAGTTAATGTTTGTAAGGTCCTGTCTTGCCCTTGTTCTAATTAAATGCTCGTTTGCTTTTAATCGAATGTCCGTGTCTGTTCTATGAGTACGTCAGTCAGACTCAAAGATCCCTACACGAGCAACCCCGCACAGGTCTACCGATACGCAAATAAATTTGCAATGTACCACTTGAAGGCCTTTCAGGCGTCGCAGGCCTAAACGTAAAGTGGAAGCCTGCTAGTCTGCCACACGCCGCTGTTAGATCGGCGGGGCCTCACCCGAAGCGTGTTGCACGGTGGCTTGTGACGTCACCGATTTTCGTGATGTGAGAGTTCATGGTGACGTCACGTATGACGTCATCAAATGATGATTTTTTTTTGTTGCATCACTCATGTTGACGCTGACGAATGACTTTCGCGTTTGCCGGTTGGGCATCTAAAGATTCCGCCCTAAAGAGACCAAGTGCACTGTGATCCTTTTACCATCCCTGCTTCGCTTTGGTTCGCCCGCAGCTGTACAGCGACGGGGCGATGAATCGAAGATAGGAAAGCGGTCTCTGTTTCCGCAAGCGCGTTCTCGTTCATTAGCTAAATCTACACCACGGCGCGGGGAATTCGGTGCGGGCGACCGACACCAGACTGCTTTCGACAGAGCGCACTGGCTGGAAAAAAGTAAAGGGGTTAGCTTTTTCGTTTCTCCCTACTGCGATGTATTACTGCACGCTTATTTGCCTATTTTTTTCTGTCTCTTTCTTTTCTGCCTTTCGTTCACAGCTTTGGCGTTCCCCGTCACAGCTTTTTTTTCTTCTTTCTATTCCTCCATTAAACTATCTTTTTCTCTGCCCAAGCTATAAAACGTTTGAATGTCCCCCTTTACCTGCTTTGAATTAATGATTTCGCTGCACGCGTATTTGCTGATTTTGAAAAAAAAAACACCGATGTCTTTTTTTTTTTGCTGGTTTCAATAATCATTTTCTTACGCGGATCATTCAAGTGAGTGAGGACAAAAAGTGATAAATGTGCACATAGTTCTTCGGAGATTCAGGGTTGGAGACACTCATGCAGAGTGCGACCGCTACAAATATAGACGGAGAATATAATTTGTCTTCAGTTTACGCTTCCGTATTTGGCGACATACAGGAAGGGATTTGCTTTACCATTATAAAGTGTTCTTGTTACAAAAAATATTTCTTATTAGCCTTTCACGGGAAAAGTTTTGCGTTCACTTGAGTTCATTTAGTAGGTTATCCTTCTCTTTGCTCGTCTTAGAGGGGCCATTTTTTTTTTTTACAGCCTACTTTTCGTACCTGTATACGCATAATAGACCCTTTAGATTTCGAATTTGCTGAAAATCAGTAACTGTTGGAGACCACACCATGGTACCTCCAAGTCGAAAGGCTCACTTGTCACGTCAAACACTCAAAGAGTCCGGCAGCGTCGATGAAGTTGTCGGTGTCGGCGCCATCAACTCCAGTGGTGCCACAAATCATCAGCCTGTGATGGCCTCATCATAACATCACAGCGAACCCGAAATTGCTGCCCGCCGCGGTGGTCTAGTGGCTAAGGTACTCGGCTGCTGACCCGCAGGTCGCGGGATCGAATTCCGGCTGCGGCGGCTGCATTTTCGATGGAGGCGGAAATGTTGTAGGCCCGTGTGCTCAGATTTGGGTGCACGTTAAAGAACCCCAGGTGGTCGAAATTTCCGGAACCCTCCACTACAGCGTCTCTCATATTCATATGGTGGTTTTGGGACGTTAAACCCCACATATCAACTCAAAATAGTTACGTCTTCTAGACCTCATTCAGCGTAAGGAAATGGGGAAACAGGAAGCCATCACGGCCTCATCCTGTGGCGTCAGTTGACACAACGTCATCTGATCGGGTTATGACATCACATCGATCTTCGTCAAAGGTATGCCGATGCCGTAGGCATAGCATAACTACGAGAGGTGGGTGGGAGGGTGGGGTGTGTGATTAATACAGCCGATTGAAAAAAAAAAAGAAGGACATGGCTTTCGCTTTAAGTCGTCTCAGGCTAATGCATGAAAGACAGCGTGCCTTTTTTTCCCCTTTTGCTCACATCAGCGAAAAAGAAAAAAAGACTGCCCTGAGAAGCTCATTTGGTGATTACATCTAAATACCCTTGAGACGTTGTGACGTAACGTTATCCTGTATTTTCCAAGCTACAAGTCAACAAAGCGGCCATCTTCCGTTATCGTTATCCTGCACTATACTTTGCTTTCGACAGAACCAACCTGCTATCGAGCGTTCAAACGATGTCAACAGACGCAAAGCTTGGAAGCGCGAAACGACGACGAGCTAATGTATGCGCCAGACTCGACTTCGTTTCAGCCGAGTGCGAATACGCAGGAGCCAAACTCAAACCCGTAACCAAATTGGCGGGCCTATTCGCTTTCCAAGTCACCACGCACTTTCCTGCGCGCCGCACTCTTCAGAGCATCGGGCGCGGTGCTATGACGCTCTTGATGAGGTAGAATCGGATCGTCTTCTCTTCAATTGGGCGAATACGTTATGAAGCAAAGAAAAAAAAACGCACAGGCTAACGAACGAAATGTCTAAAAAAGGCTGGAAGGATGAAGGTAGCAGTATACGGGTTGCCATAGTTGGAAGTTGTGAAAAAGTAGGAGGCGGGAAGAGAGTTTTTTTATTGTTACACAAATTCGATGAGAACCAATTTCATTCGCAACAATAGAGGGGCCCCCTCTTCGCTTCTGCCGTTTTCCCTTCGATATACGCACCCGCACCGAAGTGAGAAGCCTGGCTGGTAGACAGGGCAGCTCCGTCTTACCGTTGGCGAAGCAGCTCACGGAGTGGTTTCTCTCACTTGATTCGTCAGAGAGTGTCGAATAAAAAAAAAAGGGGGGGGGGGGGAGGGGCAAGCTGCTGGAAACCGGACTGCCTTCAGCCGGGAGCTATATAGTACGTATGTATATGCAGGCGCGGCACCGGATATATATTCGAGCTCCACTTATATAGGCGCGCACCTCAATGGCGTGAGAGACGAAAGTGATGAGACCGGCCCAATGAAATGAAACGGAAATAGTGCGAAAGTTGGAAGAAAAGTCCTCTTCGCTGCTTTCGGCGAGAAGGCGAACAGAGAGAGACTATACCGCGTACGCACCCGTGCCTTCTCTGTCTCATTCGGCAACGCCGTCGTCTCCTCTGTCTTGCAGGGTGTGCACTTCGCCTCTGTACCATTCGTTACTTCTATTCTTTCAGTGAAGCTGCCGTTTAAAACCCTAAAAAAATTCTGTTCATTTGAGCTACTTTTTTTTACCCTTCGTAATCACCTATAGGTTCAGGTATCGAGGGCCCAGTTGTTCCTGATTCGCTCCTGCACAAGTCCCTTTGAAAACTGCGCCGAATGAACTTAAAAGACGACTTCTTTTAGCCGTAATACATGAAGTAAAAGTACGGTAAAGCACTATGTATGATGATAGTTTACGAAAGAATGCGCTTGATTTTCGTTTAGGGCTTTGGGCATCCTGCTTTCGACGTTTCTGGAGTGATATAACTAAACTGGCGAAACGAACTTTTAGGTTAATTAATGAGAATAGCCCAACCGCTAAGAGTGAAGATTCATGACGATGGAGGTCTTCTGGCACGCCGTCTTCGTGCGCAGTGAGCCCAAATATTACAGCGTTGATAGCAATATTTGGCACCGCACCCGTGTCATACAATGAGGTGTGTCAGAAGTTGGAGGGCTGTTCCCAGCCAAGAATGTTCGGGCGTATCACGTTAAGTGGTTATTAATCGGTAAAGCGAGCAGAAGAAATGTCCATCACTCCAGTGAGGCGTCGTGCTCGGATATTTCGCATCGTGAAAGCGAAATTAAATTAGAAACGTGGTCGGTCGAGACCATCGATCCTGAACTCCGCATTCCCGAACGCAACTTAGAAGTGTGGCAGCTTGGGCTGGTTGGTATGGCATGACGATAGTTATAGCGCGAGAACAAAACGACGACTTTCGTGTCTTTCGTGTCCTTCTTGTCTCTGTGTCGTCGTTTTGTTCTCGCGCTATAACTATCGTCATCCCGAACGCAAGTTAGTGAAAGCCATCTCCTGAACAAAAAAGTGAAAGTGTCGCCGAAAGTGATCGTCCGAGAGTACAATTCTTGCAAGGCCAGAGCTTGCATCGACCGAAGAACTCGGGAAAGGGCAACAGACGTCTCTGTCGCTATCGTCTGTGTCTTTTTTTTCTAAACACTGGTACTCCCCATTACGAACTAAATGGTACATCTGCCACCTCAGGCCATATCACCGTCATCGTATCTAACAAAGCGACTAACGTGGTTCGATAAAAAAAGGGACGCACGACAAAACGCCGTGTTGTGTGTCTGCTGCTTTTCTATGCCCGTGTTAATCGCGCAGTCAATCATGATGAATCATATACAACCCACACATGTTCTATTCTAGTATGGCACCATGTTCGCGTATAGCTCACTCACCAGGGGTAAGTTGCGAGGCACCGCTGGAGGGGCAGGAAGACGGCGACCCATCTCCACCGGGGGGCGGACCCGTTCCGTCGAGGCCCAGGGCCTGAGGCGCGGTGGCGAATGGGCCGGCCGCCGCCAGGTACGTCGAGTAATGCTGGTACGGGCCCCAGTGTGGGTCCGTGCCCAGGTGCAGGACTTGGCTGGGGTCTGCGTATCATGGCGAGAGGGAAAAATCGCAAATGTTAGTCAACAGCAAAGTTATCTTCAAACATGATCGCAAGACCAACCAGGCATATCAAGCATTGCTTTCAAAACACAGTGTCTTCTAGCATCGCTTAAAGCAATGCTGTATGAAAGGGATTTGATGTCGACAAAAGATGTTCATTGAATTCAATTACCGCGTTGACTCGCCTATACTACCATCACTCGCTATCACTTGATAATATTCGTGAGTGGTCTTCGTCGCGGCTAAGGCTGGCGTAATATGTCTTAATGATTGTTGTCACTAGATCGTGTTATCAGCTCTCGGTTAATGGCTATCATTGCCTCACGTCAGCTCAAAGGCGGTAAATGGCGTTATAACAACAATAGTGTATAGATTCAATGCCAGTCCGATGATTGATTTGGTCATTTACCAAACTTCTTGTGGCATTGTTTCATTTTGCTAACACCGTCAAAGAACGGCCGCTCCCAGGAGTGAGAAATCAGATCAGAGCGTTCGTTATACAACAACGTTTACGCTAAAGAGCAGGAAGAAGTGAAATACGATTTTGGTTGTAGCATCAGAAAAAACGTGGTCAATTTCTATCTCTGAATTTCCACATTATAAATAGAACATTTCATTACGAAGCTACATGGCGTAGTTCCAACCTGATTTTCGTCACCCCCGCAGTTTCGACCGTCTTAGCGCCTGCCCCGCCGCGGTGGTCTAGTGGCTAAGGTACTCGGCTGCTGACCCGCAGGTCACGGGTTCAAATCCCGGCTGCGGCGGCTGCATTTCCGATGGAGGCGGAAATGTTGTAGGCCCGTGTGCTCAGATTTGGGTGCACGTTAAAGAACCCCAGGTGGTAAAAATTTCCGGAGTCCTCCACTACGGCGTCTCTCATAATCATATGGTGGTTTTGGGACGTTAAACCCCACAAATCAATCAATCAATCTTAGCGCCACAACACAGCTACCGACGGGCTCCTTGAGGCGCAAAAAAAATGCACGACCAGGACTTGTGTTATCTGACGCGAACCAGGCGACGTCGCGATGACCCAACACATTTACAGCCTCGTCGAAGGCGGTGAGCCGAATGTGAAAGCGGAAAGAATATGCAGCCCTCGCATTTACACTCTTTCGTGCCGCCCCGTTCCGTTATCGACGCTTTCGCTGTTCTCCGCATTACAGGGGATATCCGCGCGCGCGCATGATGCATCGCTCGCAGCCGAAGCTTTTGAACCAGGCTTGTCTCTTCCTTATGTTCATTCGGGTCCGGATAATAATCCTCTGGACACGCAAGCGCGCATACGAGGGCGACGCCCGCAGGGCTCACCGCTGTACAGCAAAGCCTGGTACCCGCGTGTACTACATTATATACGACCCCGGGCCCTGCACAGCGCTTGGCTGAGCGTGCAAATGTTTGCCAAGATCTCGCCGACACCTCGCCTCGAAACACCGGGCACACCGCGTATCGCGCTTCTCCATGGTTCATGTATGAATTTTTTTTTTTTTAGGCTTGCCCGTATCACGTTTTCTTGCCGCTTTTATACCTCACCCTTTATTCCTGTTCCTTTCTCTCGTTCCTCACTGAAGAGCTGAGTCGCAGGATAAAGAGGAGAAGGAACGGATGCCTGGGTTCCGGCATGTTTGCAGATCTCGGAAAGCTCCCTTCGCATCCTGGGAGCCGCCGGAGCGCTAATGATAATTTTTATTAATGTCGTCGCCCTTATCCCCCCAGTGTCTCCCTCCGCCCCCTCCATCACTCCATCTATTATTCTAACATCTCTTCTGGTTAAGCTGATGTTTTATCCTTTTTTTTTTAGGTCCGCGCTTTTTTACTGGGGTGAGTGGCTGAGTTCTTGCATTTCGATGTCTTCGCGTAAGCGGCTTTTTCGAATCCATGCCATCAGCCACTCTTTTTTTTTCCTTTTTTTTTCGTCGCCAGGATTGCAAGGAGCCCGATCGGGAAGCCGCCGCCACCACCACTACCACCGCACATAGCCCTCAAAGCCCCTCCCACGGACTTCTTCCATTTTTTTCTCCCCCTCTTCCTCGACTGCGCTGTCATCCTGTCTCTCCTCTCGCTCCGCTATGCAGTCTTTGTCATAATGTATTTATGTATTTTTTTTGCGTGCGTGCGTGTCAATGCTCGATGCATTAGGAAGAGTTACCCCCACATATTCGGCTCACCCCGAGCGCTTTGTCTCGGCACGTGTCAAATTATTTAGGATTTCAGTCTCGGAGCATGCGCAGTGAGACACCGACGCGTGTGGTGCAATGTCCCCTTCACCCGGCAGCCCGACATTATAGTCTTTTTTTTTCCTGAGACAGTCGTGCTGAGGAGCTTACATATATTCTTCATTATTTATATATTTTTGTTATTCTTCGTCGCTACTAGCTTCGTACCATTTGTCACATCGCTTTTTTTTTTTTTTTGCAATGCCTCGTGCACTTTGCCTTATCAATTGTCTGCTGCTGCTTTCGCAAGATATTCCTCCATGTATGCGTCCCGGGACCTCGCCATCTTTTACCGAGACTCACTCAAAAATTTGCTGCTTCCTAACTACACCTAATTACAAGTAATGTGGTGTCGAGGCCATTATCACGCTCTTTAGTATTGCCCTTTTCCATATCTACTTCTGTTTCTGTGGTGGGAGCTTTCCGATAAAACAACGCCGTCTGCATGCGCATACATACTTGTCACTACAGGTGATAACCTCACTATTGTTGCTGTTTATCCGGGGTGTTTTACATCCTAAAGCCATGATATGATTATGAGAGGGGCTGTGGTGGAGGGCTCCGGAAATTTCGACCATCCGGTGTTCTTCAACGTGCATTGACAATGCACAGATACTCGTGCCTGTATCATTCTCACCTCCACTGAAATGCGACCGCCGTTGCTGGGGATCGAAGCCGCGCAGCCTGCGAGTCATCAGCCGAGCGCGACGATCACTGCTGTATACCACGGTGGACCCTCTCGAAACGGAGGCAGTACGGCGTGTATTGTATATTGTGATAGTTAGAAATTAGCTTACAGCGCGTTTTGCACGGCCGAGTAATAACACCGCAAGTTGAAATACGTGGCGCAAGGTTGCCAATGAGAAGAACGAGAAGAGACAGAAAGAATCTCTTGTTCTTCTCATTGGCAACCTTGTGGCACGTATTTCGACTTAATATGTACCAACTAGCTTAACATAACGTATTGTTAATAACACTAATATGGATTCACTCGCTCTTTCGTGCGACGAAAACTAAAGACAAAAAGTACGTAAGGAACACGCTTCTCGCTAATTCGCCGCACCTACTCCAGTTCTCCCACTTTCGTTCAAACGTTTTACGCTGAATCGGCGTTCTCGATTTCACGTACGTGCTTAGAACAGAGGTTAAAAAAAAAAGTACCCAGACTGTGTTCTTCCGGGAGATGTCTTTTTCAGCTCGCGAACTCTTCCCTCGAAATACAAAGAAAAGAGGAATCTCGAGCGGTACAGCGCACGCTGCGATTGGGCCCTGCTTCGCTCTTTTTACCCTTCTTACCCCTTCTTTTAATCCTGCAAAAGTTGGTCTACCGTGTGCGGCTAAATTATTCGTTGCGGCCGTAAATCTCCCCGATAGCCGATCATGCGACAACTCCGACGCCTGCGAGCGCTATACGCCTGTTCTGCGCTATGCACTATACACGACGAAGTTGTTTGCATAATTGACGCTCAGGAATTGAGCGAAAGAAAAAAAAAGAACTAATAAAAGGTTTTCGGCGTAGTTCTCTATAGAGCGTTCGCTTTGGAAGCTCCGATTGCCACACGTGTATACGCACACAACATCGGCAAGAGTACAGTGGCACGACCAGAAAAAAAGATGGGTATGTACACACAAAGACGGTTCAGCTCGTGTTAAGCGCCTTTACCCTTTACCGCCAGTGTCGTTTTCTTTTCATCATTACTCGACTCCCGCGCAGCCACAGTCCCGCCTACTGCCTCGACTCGCCTCCCTTTATACTGATAGACCGATTTCCGTTTTTTTGCTGCGAAGAGAGGTGTTCATTACTCCTGATTAGATCCCGGAGCGTTAAAGAGCGCCCTCTGTCGCTAATTACCACCCCCCCCCCCCAACCCCAACTCGTCGTTCTCTTGCCCACCGTTCTTGCCATTGCCCGCCTTTTGAGCAAACCTTGCACATACTCTGGTAGACACTGTGTTCTAACCCGGTCCTACAATCCGTGGCTGCTACTCTTCTTTAGTAACCCGCTCGATTCTTTTTTTTTTTCGTTTCTTTCCTGTTTTTCACTCCTCTGTTGCACAGCCTCCGTCTATGCCATTTCACTCCCAGCAAGCTCGCAGTTTGTTTGCGAGAACCTTCATTTATTTACCGCGAAGTAAAATCAGTGCCGGAAACCAACGCCCTTTCGGCGAAGTAGGGCTGTTTGTGCCGAAGCAGTAGTCTTCTCCACGCACCTCTGTTTATTTACTTTCTTTTTTTACGCACTCCCGAGAACCCACTGCGGCCGATACTTCGAACTCTTCCTTGCTTTATTCTCCGCTCTCTCAGTCCCTGTTCTTACTTTGGGCTTCCTAACGCGCAAACCCGCATCGACGGAAGCTCGTTCTAACCTCATCAGCCGATTCTGTGCATGTTTGTCCCGCTTCTTCACTCATGCACACCATTACTCGCCCCGTGCTTTGTTTATTCGCTTTTCTTTAATTGTGTGTTCTCCATCCTCTAAAGTCTCCTACAGTCTTCTTTCACGTTTCACAGTGTAACTTCGCGAGCCCGGATCTCACGCTAGTACACCCAGGCATCAAGAGAACTTAGCAAAGCATAGACAAGCAAGGTAACAAATATTTAAAAAGCATGCGTGGAAACTCCAGTAGCGTGGAGTCGCAGTCGTGTTACCGAACGTGCGGGAAAGAGTGTGTGGAGAGAGTGACTGTCGAAACGAACAGCGATTGGTTAGGAAGGCGAGCACGCGGCTCTACAGCGTAACTGCGCGCATTCGGAGTTCGCGGGAA